TTTTTTTTTTTTTTTTTTTTTTTTTTTTTTTTTTTTTTTTTTTCCTAAACGATCGAAATTACAAAACTTAAGCTCTTGATTAAACACCTGACACGCAATAATACAACTAATCACACCAAAATACCGGAAAATGCTTATTTATTTTGTAGACGACCATTCTCGTACAAAATAACATACGCCATTGCGTGAATTAAAAGTAGACCTACTTTTATTTACAGGTTGCAAAAAAAATTACGGACATCTAGTCCATACACTCCTAATGTGATTCATAGCGTTGATTTCAGACTGCAGTAAGCCACATTAGTTATAAATAATGCACTTATGGATTTATAAGCTATTTTATATAAATTTTTGTTCACCAAGTATGGATTTTCTCAGCATGGCTCAATTTACTCGCAAAAAATGTCATCAATTTTATGAAAAAAAAAAAAAAAGAAGAAAATATAATTATTTTTGGATTAGTACGTCGTAATCAGTTGATACAATAAATTGTAAAACTTTAACATACATGTATGACGTACTCAACGCATTGTTTCTTTATTTACAGTACTATATGTTTATGAAAACTGATAAAGTTGCAGTAGATTTGGTGCGCTCCAATTTAATAGAAAATCGTTAAAGAAGTTATGTACAAATCTCAAAGTCGATTGTTTTTGATTTCTGACTTGCAATGTATATTGCGATGCATATTAATGTACAAAATGTACACAAAGTTGATTTTTTTTATATAATAGGACTAATTGTCATATCATGTATTTACGTTTATTGATTAAATTGTATAATTAAATATTATTTAAGAAATTTAGTCAGTTGGAAGAACTCAAATGCTTTATCGGCACCCGATAGTCGCGACGCATTATTTTTCTAGATTGTTACGAATCTAATTCAAGTCTCATTCGAATAATTTATTTGTTTTCTTATGCATACCTTTTAATAAAATTTATTAAAATTACCATAAGGGGCAGTGCTAAATATTCAACTTTGTAAATTTCATCGAATAATGATGTGAAAAAGTTATTTTGTTCAATCCTACGTATAACTAATTACTAATATCAAAAGACGTAAGTCAATAAAAATTTCTTTTAATAGTTACTTATTTTGATTGATTCCCCTTTTTGTTCGTCTAGTTATTTTTGTCAGTTGCAAAAAATGTACACACTCTTTTCCTGCACATTATTTTTCATTTTTATCAAGTAACGTTAAAATGCACTGTGGTAAAAGAATTGACATTTACTCACTCCGACGTCACTACGTTCGTTTGATTAAAATTACATTTCAAAATTTTAAATATCGCATCAAATATTGAAAAATTTTTTAAAAAAATTAGCTCGTAGACTTTAAAATTCTTTTTTTTTTCCTTTTAAAGTATTTTGTATTTATATTATTTTCCCATCGTCCACCGTAACGCATAGCATTTATATTCACAAAAAAAAAAAAAAATGACTTTGACAGTCCATTGGGCGGAATTTTATGTACACTCACAACAAACGCTCACACGTCTTCGGCACTCTCGGCAGCAGTATAAGAAAGCACATCGCACGCACACCTCCGATGCCTCTAAAAATTTTTTTTTTTTTCTACTCATCACGATAAAAAAAAAGGTCTAGCCTTCGCTGACGGATGAGAGCGAGCTGCGAGTCGAGCCGGCCGTGTGGTGGGTGAGATCCGGCAGATCGGCCGGTAGGCACAGCGGCATCACGCCCGGCACGTAAACGCTGCTCTCCTGTTCTTCCAGTTGTATCACGAATTGCTCCTCTAGCCTCTGCAAAACATTTGCGATTCACGTGGTTACACATACTTATTGAAAATATATTTGGGCTTTTTTTTTTTTTTTTTTTTTTTTCGTTTACTCTCCACCTATTTTATTTCCATCGCTACTGTGCTCAGTGAGTCTAAAAGGTGGGCTCGTGCGTTAATTTTTTTCAGGCATACTAATGTCTAATAATCAATAATTAGTATAAAGTCTCGTTTACTACTTATTGGTATTTAATGTAAGTAGATTAATTTTCAAGTGTTTATATAATAATAATAATAATGATAAGTTTAGTACGACTGATCGCATGGTTGGACTATGTAAAAATGGACTGTTTTTCGCACAGGTCGACAAATGGTGATCAATAAATGAATTATTTTCAACACTTACTCTCTTTGTTATCGGGCGAACCTTTCGCTTCGAATCCAAAATCCAAAAGATCTTTCTACCCGACATCTGACTCAAATTCTTGTGCATACATACTCGAAAAGGAATGTTTATCTCTTTTTTGTTGGATTGTGAATTTTTTTTACAAAGGTTCTTGGAAAAACAACAAAACTCCAAGCACCAATAAATAAGACACATTTTGTTTTTATGATCACCATTAGCCCTTTGTTTTTTTTGCTGATTACCCAACAGACAAAAACAATGACGTTGCGCTTATTTCAAAAAAAAATTTTTTTTTTCAACAAACGCAACTTATGCATGTATACGATACCCTGTGTTAACGTTTGACATTCAAATGATTTGGTTACAAATAATCAACATAAACTCGTAAAAACAGCAATTGAAGAAGCAAAAAAAAGACACAATCGCGGTAATAAAAAACCATTGTGACTGGAGACAACAAAAAAAGTGCACGTGGTAAACAACAGACAGGAAAAAAAAAAAAAAAAAAAACGTAAAACAGAGCAATGGAATGATGGTACAAACAAATCGGGGGATTAAAATGTGAGCTGAACATCAGTCACGGATGATAGACACACAGAGACCGAGGGATGTACCTGCACACATATACAATGAACGACTGGCATGATTTCACTGAAAAAAAGGAAAAGCTCGAGGACGAGTTTTTTTGAATAAGACACAGAGGCAGAGTATTCGTGAAAGCTTACGTTGGCGAAGGAAGGCTATTTTACGGCCACATACGGAGGCTGAGAATAAAGTTCGTGGCACGTCTATGCATGTAATTATACAAAGTAATTTTTATTTCGCTAGAAATATTATTATTATAAATCTTAGTTTGTGTTTTTGTATACAAGTGCGAGAATTTCAGCAGTGCACCGAAGATTTTTTAACAAAATTCAGCTCTTTGGAAAATCCTTTAAAATACGACAATAAACTTGTTGCGTTTTTTTTTTTTTACAAAAAGGTTTGATTTTCCATGAATTAATTTCAAATGCATCGAAAGCACGTGAATCGTAACAATAGTAGTAATAAAAATAATAACAACAATAACGTAATAGAAAACAAAAATTGATCTTAAACTGTACGTGTACAAGCGTGTATAATATGCGATGCATAAATAAAAAAGAAAAGGAAAAAAAAGCATCTAATCTAATCCCGTGAAAGTACAATTAATACAAGTCAAAGAACTTATGACTCGAGCGATCAGGACACCCTCGGGCCAACCAGATGGCATAAGCACCCCGAAATGACGAGTTTTCAGAGCTGTACCACAGGATTTGGTAATTTTTTTTTTTTTTTTTTTTTTTCCCAACGCTCCAACGTTGGAGGAACGTGCGTGTAGTACAATAACATTAATTGTAAGTAAGGAACTCCGATAAACAAATCAATGCGGCTTAAAAATAACATCAAAAGAAAAACAATTCGTTGTTAATCACACAAAATGTTGTTAATCAAACGAGGGGGTCACGAGCGCGGGGTAAAAATGGTACAGCCCCTAAAACGAGAGTAGAAAAGAAAGAAACCCAGCACGGCTGACCAAAAGTCTAGGAGGAGGGGAGGAAGGGTTGATTCCTCGGTGGTGTGGACACGAGGTCGAGCCTACTGCTGACGGAACGGGTTTTGGAGAGCGTGCCGCTGGCTATGGAGCTCGTGTCCGAGCCACCGCTGAACCTCAACTGGACCCTGGGTATGTGGAAGGGCATGGGCGAACTCGGGACGGAATACGCCGACTCGATGGGTTTGTGGTTGCAACTTTTCGGCCGTCGTTTCGGCAACGAATTCGTCCCGGAAAGGCATTTCGAGAGGGATAAGTCGAATTGGCCAAAGTTCGTCAGGTAGAAGCCGCTGAGGCGCGCGGGCAGGTAACCCTTGTACCGCAACTCCAGTTCTTCCATCTCCAGAGCTAGCTCCGCCTCGAAGTTCTGTGAAAATACGCAGGCATTGATTGACTGCTGCCGGGGAGGAAACAAAACAATAATATATGTATATATGTTGTAAAAAAAAAGCTGTCTCTCTCTCTCTCTCTCTCTCTCTCTGATTCGCGCGTAGTGTATTTCTGGGGGCTGTGTTTGCTTGCTCTTTCGTTTTTTTGCCAAGTCGTCTTTGGTGACCGATGAGATCTGTGGATCATCGGGAGCCTAAACTTTCGACTCTCAAAAGTAAAAATTAACATGTACAAGTTTGTAATTAGCGTGGAAGCGGTTTGCGAAAAAAATAAGCAGCCATCTCACTTATATGTAAGCTGTTTGTTTGTTTTTTAAGTGCAGTTCGGAGATGAAGTTTCCCTGTATACCTTGACGGTGAAGTTGATTTGATTTTATGTCTTTGATAGATTATTTATCGAGTAACTGAATATTTTATGGAAAATAAGACAAGATTGATTGAGGATTCGAGGCAGAAGACGAGGTGTGCACGTGATTTCGTTTACAAATCAAGGATAATTTTGTATGTGGTCTAGAACAAGCGACAACTCTTCGTTTGTCAATAGTTTATTGTATTTACATTGGACACGTTAGATTCCTACTTTACCGATACCTTCGACAATTTATTTCACTCGAAGCAATGAATTTGTTCTGCGCGTTTTAAGGTGAGGAAAAGGCTTGACACACCAAAGAGCAGTTCAAAGTTAACATTAGTAAATAGCTATAAAATCAAATCGACCTTATATTATTAGGTAGGGAACTTTAACCATCTCCCAACTACCATTAAATGTTAGCGTAATGCTATTACTGTTGTATTAATTGGCAAAAAAAAAAAAAAAAAAAAAAAAAAAAACTACAAAGTAAGCGTTCAAGTTAGCAAATCTAGTAAGCGTATTCAAACTACAAATGTGCATTTGTATCATCTAAAATACGTTTCATCAAAATGGTAACCCATATGTTATTGATACTCTGTTATTTCGAGTGTTGAAAAAAGAAAAGAACTATGTACATGGTCACTATTTCGAGTACAATCAGAAATCCATACAAATTAAAATCCGACAACTCTACTTTCAACAACCAGGTGCAAAAGTTACACGCAAACTTTGAACGTAGCGGCAAAAAGTACGTAGGATGTATCATTGAATACGCATAAGTTGTGCACCAATCACGGCAACGTTCAAAGCCCGGCATCAGCAACGAAAACGCCAGCATTGCCACCACCCCGATGTGTTGAAATTTTGCGTACCTGCTTGCGAGGTTTCAGCAGAGTCTTCCACTCGCGGAGTTCCCGGCCGTACGCCTCCTCCCTCTCCTTGAGCTTGATCATCTCGTGCTCCTGGAGCATCTTGCGCTTCTCGTTCTGGAGCTGCTCGAGCTCCTTGATCGCCGCGTCGCTCGCCGCCCTCATCTCCTCGAGTTGGCGCAAGTGCTTCAGCTCGAAACGCTGCTGCTCGGCCCGGTAGCGCTTCTTCTCGTTCTCCTGGAATTTCTTGAGCTTCTCGCGCTCGTCGTCCGGATCCGTCACCACTGCGGTCGATATAGAGATGCGCATCGACTCCCTGCAAACAAAGCAAAGCATAGTTCTATCACCATCGAGACAAATTTTCCTTTTTTTTTTCTTTTTTTTTTTTTTTTTGCGAGCATCAACACACCTGAACATCATTTCGCGAGCCTTCATCTCGTTGCGAATCCTCTTGGGCAAGTTGCGCCGCTCAATGGTCTGGCGCTTGACGAGCTCCTCCTCCTTGCGCTGGTTCATGCGTTTCATCTGCTCGAGCTCTTTCTCGTGCCTAATGAGCATCTGGTGGCGCTGCAGGAAAAATATGTCCTTGAGCTGGCGCTTGAGCAGCTGCTGGCGCTCGTGGATCTGGCGTTCCTCGAGCTCCCAGAGCGAGGCCTCCCGCGCCCGGAGCAGCTGCTGCTTTTGCTGTAGAAACTGGCGCTCCATCAGGGCGATCTTCTCCCGGTGGCCGTCCGAAAGACGGCGCAGCGACGTCTCGTGGCTCTCGTTGAGCTTCTCCAGAAAGAGCTTCTCCCGCTCCTCGTGCTCGGCTTCCAGTTTCTCCTTGCGCACCTTGAACACGCTCTTGCGCTTCTCCTGCAACGCGTCGCCGTCGGTTACAACCATACGATAAAAACCAAAAAAAAGTTTCTTACCTTGGGCATAAGGTCGACCTCTTGCTTGAGCAGCCTGAGGTCCTGCTTGAGGCCCTCGCGGAATTGCTTGAGTTCTCGTTCCTGTTCGGCTCTGATCTTCTTGGAGGCCAACCTCAGATCGGCCTCCTGTTGCGCCTCGGCGCGTTCCAACTGTTGGCGTTGCTGTCTCAGGAGCGCCTCGAGATCGGCCTCGGCCGTGCGCTCCAGCATCTGGCGTTCCTGCTCGTTCCGCTTCTCCGACTGTTCCTTGTTCAACATGGCCTTCTGCGCCAGATCCTGGAACTGCTTTTGCTCCATTTTCTGCAACATCTTGAGCTCCCGCAGCTCCTGCTTCCGGAATATCTGGTCGTCGTAGAACTTTCCGTTCTCATCGTCGCCGTAAATAACCTGCGAAACACGCAACGCACTCGTTACCAACGTACACACAAGAACAGCAACAGCCAACCAACGTACCTTGGAAGTCGTGGTCGTAACGACGACGCCGTCAATCTCGAACTTGCGGGTGCGCTTCCTGGTCTTTTTCTTCAGATTCATCATCTGTATCCTCTCGAGGTCCTCCTTGGTCCGCCTCGGGATTTCGCGGGTGTACTCGGGCTTTCTGCGCAACACCACCTCCTCGTCCATCTCGGTCGACTGCCTCGACTCTGTCCTGTGATGGCCATTGTTCTCGACAACGCCGGTTGTTGTCGTCACTACGCTACTACTACTATTGTTGTTGTTGTTGTTGTTGCTCGCGTGATTGTTGGCGTCTTTGTTGGAGCCACGGCTGTCTTGGCTGATGGTCGTCGATATGGACTCGGCGTCCGACCGGTCGATGCTCTTGCTCGGCGTGTGCGAGCGAGTCGAGGCTGAATCGCTCTGAGAACAACGTATCGACGAGCCCTCGTAACTATCCGGCGACACGCGTTGTTTGTTGTGCACTTGGTTCTGATTGCGATGCGACGAGTCTTTAGCTTTCAACGGTGTCGTCGTCTCGCCAGTCGACGACTGCTCGAGGGTCTGTCGTACCTTACGCAAACACACCCACGTATGTTTAAACAACTTGGCATGGACAGCTCGTAAAAATACGTAAGGAAACACATACCTGTCCGTTCATGAGTTTCCGTGTTCTGTCGTTCTCGGGGATGGGGGTGCCGAGGGCCGACGAATCCTTGACCTGTTCGCGCTCGTCACCGACGGTGACCACAGACACGTGACTAGTGTCGAGCAACAGCTGCTGCTCATCCTCGATCGGACTGACTATGACGACCTCGGACTCGTCCAGCCGCTTGCCTATCTTTTTCCCGTTACTCGCCGACTGATCTATGACTATCGCCTGCTCTTGCGGCGTGTACTCGAGACTGTCCAGACTGGTGAAGCCGTCGTCCTCCACTGCGCTCTCGTTCACCTTTGGGAAAACGCAATTTTCTCGTGTTTACCAATATAACTCGAGGAGCTCGAAAAAACAACAACAACAACAACTCACTTGTGTCTTGTTAGTCTCGTTGGCGACGATGACGACCTCGGACGAGGCGCGCCTGGGTGGCGGTGGACTCGACGCGGCGTCGATCAGTACAGGCGGGTGGGTCGTGACCACCGTCACTTGGCTCACATTGCTCGCGAGGCTGTTGGACGGGTCGGGGCTCTCGGCTGTTATGCGCACCGTCGTCGACGTGTTGGCCCGGTGCTCGTTATCCGTGCCTGTTGTTCGAAACGAACACGTTACACCTTGGTTTTACAATGTGGTAGGGGGTGAACAAAAAAAAAAAAAAAAAAAAAAAAAAAAAAAAAAAAAAAAAAAAAAAAAAAAAANAAAAAAAAAAAAAAAAAAAAAAAAAAAAAAAAAAGACACCGACCCGTGATGACGACGATATTGTCGCCGCTGGCGCTTCTCGACACGTTGTTCTTGACGGGCGTCGATGTGATGACAGACACGTTGACTCCACCAGGGGCCTTGTCCTTCGCCCTGTCGACCATGTCCTCGGCGACTCTGGTGGGTGGGCGGTGGGCTTCGGGGTCATCGGAAAAGTTGTCGAGCGAGTCGTTGCGCGACGAGTTCCCGCTTCTGCTCTTACTCTCCTCGTCCTCGTCGCAGCTAATGACCATTTTGGTGGTGTCGTTGGAGCTCGAGGTCGACTTCAAGGGGCTCTCCTCGGTCTTGGGCGACTGTTGCGCCGACGAGGACGACGACGACGACGACGAGTCCTGGGACACTTGCCGCTTGAGGACGCTCTGCTGTTGCTTCTCGAGCAAGGTGTTCAGCTTGTCCTCGACGGATTTGCGCTTCTGCTCGAGGCTGCGCCGGCTCTCGCTGCCGCTGCTACTGCCGCTCGACGCCCTCCTCTTGTCCACCGGGCTCGCTTCTCGCGACGATTGCCTCTCGCGTCTGCAAATTATCATCCCCCTTACGCTCACAGCCAAAGGTCGACAATTTTTCGTCGTCACCTCACCTGTTTTTCTTCTTGTCGAGCTGCCAGTCCTCGATGCTTCCCACGGGCTTGACTGGCGCGGACTTGCGCTTCTCCTCGACGCTCGGCTGTTGCCTGCTCTTGGAAGCCGGACTGGGCTTGCCCTCGACGCTCCGGGATCTCGACGTGTCGTGCATCTTGGCCAGGCTGGGCTTCTCGGGGGTCACCGGGGGCTTTTTGCCCTCGGACGAGCTGCGCCGTTTGGCCTCGCCGTTGACGGCAGTGGTTTCGGGCTTGTTGGCCACCGGTGGTTTCTGGTCGGTCACTTTGGCCGGAACTGGAGGCGCTTGCTGGTGGTTGACGGTGTCTATGGCACTTGGTTTGGGCTCGCTTTTGGCTTGGCTCAGGTCGGTTTTGCTCTCGTGGCGGGCCATCGACGGAGGCGGTGGGGCGGGGCCCTTTTGCTGGGCGAACCGTCGCTCGGTGCTTGCTTCGCTGGGTGTTGGCACCGGGGGCTTTGGAGCCTAGAAATAAAAATGATTTTCAATCGCAACGAGAACACAAGAACCGGAGATACGGTAGTTTGGACGTGTACTCACTGGTTTCTTCTCCGAGGGCAAGGGTATGTTCTCCTTGGAGTCGGCCTTGCGCAGTTTCTTGCTGCGCTCCTCTTTTTCGCCGTCCCGGGCGATTTCACGCTTGTTGCTCTCCTCCTTCTTGGCGGCTGTCGCCGGGACTGGCGCTGCGTTTTCTTTGTCTGCAACTGGTGATGGGAGAAAAAGGTCAATAGAATCGAGATTATCCCTACGGGGTGTTCAATTACCTTTGGCATCATTGTCGCTGCGAACAGAGGCAGAGTCATCTCCGATTTGGTCCAATTCCAGGGGAATTTGTGACGTGCGTTGCTCCTGAAAGTTATAAAAATCGTCACTGTAAGGAGACTCCGTTTTAGGTTGATAGAGTTGGTATAACAACTAGCGTTCAAACCAATTTGGGTAACGGAAATTCATAATAGATTGTTAGTACAAAAAAATCATACATGACATTTGAAATGGAAATTTTTTTGAGACAATAGTACATCATGTGCAATGTAATGGTTACCTGGTGTGATTATATAGAGTAAAATGTAACGTGGACAAAAGATGCATGAAATTTTAATCCTCACAACAGATGTAGCATGTACATGTACACATTGATTATAAGATACGAAAAGCCATGCACCAAAAATTTTGTTAGTATGGGAAAGATGAAATAAGTAGCCTGCAAGCATATATCATATATATAAAGTCGACGGGGGATGTTTCTAGAGCAAACTAAAAAAAAAAAAATGTGTCAAGTAAATTACACACACGTGTACAATAAGTATACCCAGATTTTAACAGCATCTTTGAAGCTCACTAACCTGGCAAACGCACGGCTGATGGGGCTGGCGAGGCCCAGGTGAGCCGCATGCACAGCCAAATCATTCAATTACAACAGTACATTCATAGAAAGATTGTCTTCGTATTTATTTCTTTAAGTATCATCAGGTTGGTTATTTCAAATTAAATATCATATGTTTGAGTATTCCTGCCTTTGTCTTTTTGTTTTTATAGGAAAAAAAGAAAAAAATAAACAGCGGATTTGTGTAACAAATAAAATCTAATGACTAGCCATAGAGTATGAAAAAAAAGGAAAATCTAGTCTACAATTGTGGGATAAAAGTGTGAGGGAGGAGAATACAAAAAATATCAATAGCAACTACCGAAATCTTGGAGTTAAGCAAATTTTTCCTTTATTATTAATATTATTATTTTACTTTTCCAACACTTTTTGTGGTCTTGAAAAGTTCTTTTTTACAAGGCAAGTGGGGTGTGCCGACAATTAGGAGGCGATTTTTCTTCCTAAGATTTTTAATCATGCAACTATCGATCAAGTGGATTGAATTTTTTTTGTTTATCGTACCAATACCTATGTGTATATACTTCATCTAGATCATGTGTCGACTAAAGTTGCTTTTCGTTCTCGAAATTTATTGGTGTTTTCACTCGTCGGATTAAAAATATAAAATTTTTCTCATAATCAACGCACTAAATGCTCATTTATCACAATCATTTTCAACGAAAACTAAATTTTCTAAAACCGTTAAAACTTTTTTTCAACTATCACATGCGTCTTTCTATTACCTAAACTCTAATGAAAGTCTTGAATGTATGCTTCGATGTAAAACATTTTCAAAGCGCAGCAGCCTTATGTATCACACAATAAAGATTAAAAATATAAATTTCCTATGGTTACATTTAATTAATATCTACTTGACCTTGTTATTATCAAAAATAATCACAAAAACGTCTTTTGCAACAAAGACAAGTGTTCACGTCCTCGGATGTGAAGATAAACACGTCCACACTCTGTGATATTAAAAAAAAAAGAAAAAACAAAAACGAATGTGTATCAAGATTTCAAACTAAAAAAATTTTTTTTTTTAAATACAGTACGTGCTTAATCTACAGAGACTATCGTCGGAATACTGATCAATGGTCATTACAAAATACTTGATTGACAAGAATAAATATTTATTATACTCGGATTACACTTATAAGCTATGCGTTGTTTGCTATCATGTGTATTATTAATAGAAACGTATCATCAGTCTGTGGGTATGTGTATATGTGAGTGTGTTTGTGCCTATAAACTACTTAGGCCAAAATTATTTGAAAAATAATCGTCTTCCCTGGCAAACAAATATTATTCAATTAATTACGTACGTATACGCATTTGGAAATTAAAAAAAATGTATATATATATATATATATATGATGTATATTGTAAAATAAAGGGAACAAACAACACAGCGATACGTAAGTTCAAGTGTCGTTCGTCACGCAATGTACTTTGCAGGCAAAGCAGGAGGACATGACCGACTGACTCTTTGTCAATAGCGCTATCGAGTCGCCGGGTAGCAGCTTACCGATCCGCTGGTACTGTTCTCTGTGCTTTTTCGCCTTTTTGGCCTTCTAACGTGTAAGCGTGGAAAAAGAAAGAAAGACCAACACATGGACAGAATAGATTAATGCTCTTGTGGTGAATATCCTCGCCAAAAGATAAATTACATGGTTATCTCCGACACAGGAAAACAAACTGTGGCTCGAGATAAATTTTGTTAGTATATAGTATATGAAAAAGAACTCAATGACTGGAAAATCGTTGTGCATGCACTTGGTTTGACAATAATGTTCTTGAATCCCAAATACTATGAATCCCAAATGTAATACCAGAGAAAAAAAAAATACGTTGACAAAGGCATACCTCAGCGTCATCATCGACGAGCTCCTCCTCAACGACGTCGGCCTTGTACTCGAGCAAAAGATCCCGAATCGGCTTGGAATCGAGATTTCGGTTGACAAACGGGTGTTTCAGTAGTTCCTCGGCGTTGGGTCTCGTGGACGGATCCTTCGTCAAAGCTTTGGCTATGAAGTCATTGAAATCCTTGCTCCAACGGCTTGGCTGCTCGAGCTTTGGCGGATCGCTTTTTTGGATCTTAAGGAGAACGCGCATCGGTGACATCTCGTGGTTCGGCGGCTCCATCTGCGCGAACTCAATCAACGTGATGCCCAACGACCATATGTCGACCTGTGAATTTTGTGATTTATGTAATTATTTTGCTTGTTTTTGAAGTACTTGACAAGTCTCGTTTTGTTTTTTCTTTTTACCTTGAAATCGTAGGGGTTGTCCCGAAACGTTTCGCACAACACGACTTCCGGCGCCATCCAGTAGGGAGTGCCGATGAACGTGTCGTGTTTTTGCAACGTGTACTTGTTTTTCGCGGAAACGCCAAAATCCGCTGAAAAACAAAGCAAACAAACAAATAATTACACAATCGATCGATTGAAAAAGCAAAAAAAAGTAAGTTGCTACATACCGATTTTCACGCCTCCAGCCATAGTGAGTAGAACATTACCGGCCTTTAGGTCCCTGTGAATGACTTTGGCCTTGTGTAAAAAAATGAGGCCCTTGCACATGAGCTGGCAAACGTAGGCTATCTGGGGCTCGGTCAGCGCCTTCTCCAACTCCACCATTATTGAATCCACGGCACCACCGTCGCAGTACTCTATCAGCATCTGCGCAACGAGGGAAAATATTACTTCAAATTATTTATTCATTTCCAACAAAAAAAAAAAAAAAAAAAAAAAAAAAAAAAACTACAAAGTAAGCGTTCAAGTTAGCAAATCTAGTAAGCGTATTCAAACTACAAATGTGCATTTGTATCATCTAAAATACGTTTCATCAAAATGGTAACCCATATGTTATTGATACTCTGTTATTTCGAGTGTTGAAAAAAGAAAAGAACTATGTACATGGTCACTATTTCGAGTACAATCAGAAATCCATACAAATTAAAATCCGACAACTCTACTTTCAACAACCAGGTGCAAAAGTTACACGCAAACTTTGAACGTAGCGGCAAAAAGTACGTAGGATGTATCATTGAATACGCATAAGTTGTGCACCAATCACGGCAACGTTCAAAGCCCGGCATCAGCAACGAAAACGCCAGCATTGCCACCACCCCGATGTGTTGAAATTTTGCGTACCTGCTTGCGAGGTTTCAGCAGAGTCTTCCACTCGCGGAGTTCCCGGCCGTACGCCTCCTCCCTCTCCTTGAGCTTGATCATCTCGTGCTCCTGGAGCATCTTGCGCTTCTCGTTCTGGAGCTGCTCGAGCTCCTTGATCGCCGCGTCGCTCGCCGCCCTCATCTCCTCGAGTTGGCGCAAGTGCTTCAGCTCGAAACGCTGCTGCTCGGCCCGGTAGCGCTTCTTCTCGTTCTCCTGGAATTTCTTGAGCTTCTCGCGCTCGTCGTCCGGATCCGTCACCACTGCGGTCGATATAGAGATGCGCATCGACTCCCTGCAAACAAAGCAAAGCATAGTTCTATCACCATCGAGACAAATTTTCCTTTTTTTTTTCTTTTTTTTTTTTTTTTTTTTTCAAGTGTGTTTTGCGTTGAGTCGTTTTACATTCTGGACTACTGCTTTTCTTAACAAATGAGAATGGGTGTTTGCGTGGTTTGTTTAACTATGTATTTCAGCCGAAATAATCTACATGAAAATTATATTCAAATGACGTAAAAATTTTTTGTAGCTAACAATTCAAAATATATTTTCATTCGTTTCTATAATTATACCACAACTTTTTTTTTACTTGCAAATATTTCAATACATATATACTTG